GATTGTAAAGATAATTTTACTAAGATGTGCTTATAAAGAGGATTTTCTATATGTTTATATTAGTTAGTTTTAAAATAAATGTGCTTATAAAGAGAATTTTTATATGATGTGCTTATATAGAGTGTGACTATAGAAAGGTTTAACTATAGTTCAAATTAATTAGGTTTAATATATTATAACCTTGTAATAATTTATATATATCTATCTATACTAAAAAAAATTTTAAATTTTTATAAATTTTATATATTTACTAATAATTAAAATTTTAATTATATATTTAGATCTAATTTAAATCATAAACATTGGACTAATATTCTTTTTACTACACCTACTCCTATGTTTATATCAGTTAAACCAACTGAAGAAATTCATCAGAATGCTATAAATATATCTATTAAAATTAAAAAAGCTATAGAATCTATTGAAATAACAAAAGTTTCAGCTATTATTACTGATAATGCTTTAGTAATAAAAGCTGCATAGAAAATTCTAGAAAAAAAGTATCATTCTATTATTTTTTGGTTGTTTAGCTCATGGTTTAAATCTTTTAATTGGAGATATTATGAAAATTGATTGGGCAAAAACTATTTTTAAAAATTCAAAAAAAATTGTTTTTTATTTTAATAATCATACTATTTCTGCTGCTATATTAAAAAGATATTAAAAATCAAAATATAGTTCTAATTATAAAACATTAAAATTACTAATTAAAACTCATTAGGCTTCATCAGCAATTTGTTTAGACTCTATATATAAAAATCAATTAGCTTTAAGTCTTACAACTACTGAGATTTCTAATAATAATTTAATTAAGCTTGATAATGAAATTAAATTAAATATTTTTTATGAAAATTATTGGAAAAAACTTCAAACAATTTTATCTATATTAAAACAATTAATGATAGGTATTTGTATTTTTGAAAGTAATACTCCAAAATTATCAGAATTTTATAAATGGTATGATAAAATTTTAGAATTAAATTGTAAGTAATATATTAGTTTTTAATTAATTTTTTTAAAAAATTTTATTAAAAATTAATTTATATTTTAAATTAAAATTTTAAATTTTATTTAAAATTTTAGGTATTCAACAATTTCCTAATAATCTTTATAATAATATATTGGATATTTTGTCTGAAAAGTGAACAAAAATTTATCATCCTGTTATGGAAATAGCATATTTATTAGATCCTAAATTTGTTGAAAGAAATCTTGAACCAGATGGAATGATAATTATTTCAGATTTTTTAGAACAATATTATCTAAATAATGCAAAAACTATTTATGCACAAATACTTTAATATAAAACACAAACTGGTCCATTTCAAAATTAGCTTGCTTGGAAAACTATAAATTCTATTAATTTAATTTCATGGTGACAAAACAAATTTAAATCATCAGCACCTGAACTTTGCAAATTAGCACAACGAATACTTACCATTCCAACATCATTAGCTTCTTCAGAGTGTAACTAGTCAACATTTAGCTATATATATAATAAAAAAAAGAAATAGATTAAGTTCAAATAAGGTTTTAAAACCTGTTTATATATATAGTAATTATAAGTTAAAATCAATACAAAAAGAAAACAAAATAGAAAAATTAATGAAAATAAAGATATAGATTCTAAATTTGAAGCTTTATATCAAAACAATAGTGATGAAGAAGATGAAGAAACAAATTATAATAAAAATATAGAAGAAAATATAGATAGTAGTGAAGATATAGATAAAGATAATTAAATTAAATATAGAATTATAACTATAATTTTTTATTTAAAAATATTCTTATTTGTATTTTTTGATTTATATTTTTAACTATATATAGTTATATATTATTAAGATTTTTTCCTGATAATATTAAGGTTTTTTTTCTTAATATATATATAATTATATATTATATAAATAAATTTTATTTTATAAATTAAAACTAATTTATATAATATTTAGTATTAATTTTAGTTTAGTTTACTTTACTAATATTTTTTTATAAATATAATATTTATCAACAATAATTCATCATATTATTTTAATGATATTTATTTTTTATTTTACCAACAATTTAATTCACTAAATCTTATTTTACTAACAAAATAATTCTAATTATTATTGTTAAAGTTAGGTTAGAATTGTGTTAAGGTTGATAGAATTTCTATGATAATGTTTCATGTATAGTATGAAATATGAGAGTGATAGTTTTGTTTTTAACATTATTAATATTGCTTATCCTGTTTTTTGCAAATCTTTTTTTGGTAGAAGTAATGATTTTCATTTATTCATTTTTGGAAAGAGTTAAAATTTTTACTTACCAGTATATACAAATTGCTCACTATGATGTAAAGCAGATATCACTGACTATTAATTTTAAAATTCATCATTATGATGTAACTGGTGTTAATAATATTAATTTAAAATTTTATGATGTAAATCTATGTTGTTAATTGAATTTTATATTCAATTGTTTTTTAAAATTTGCATTTTCTGTTTTATTTTCTTTATGGATTTTTTGGACATGATTTTGTCTTTTAAAACGTAGGTATTTTCTGGTAAATGTTGTGATTCCATAGGAAGACTTCAGTATGATTGGCTCTCAAAGTTTATTTAAATTTAAATTATTTATACAGTTTAAGTACTTTTTTAAAAAAAAATCGAACTATAAAGAATAAACTAAAAAAGGTTTTATTAATGTTGTAGAACTTTATTATTAGAAATAATCAAAATTATTTTTGGTTTTAGAGAAGTTAACTTAATAGCAACTTCTTAAATAGATAGAATTAGGTTATTACAATGTTAATATTTCTAAAACAAAAGAGATTTTGATTATTTTTAATAGTGGGTTCTACAACCTTATTAAAACTTTCTATATGCTTCTTTTTTGTTTATTCTTCATAGATTTTGTATAAATAATATAAAACTAGATAATTATATGAAAGTCTTCCTATGGGTTGTAATTATATATGATCATTGAAATTGAATTGCTATAATTATGATGAGGTTATCTTATTAAAAGTAAAGCTAAGTTGATTTTTCATTTTGCATTACATGAATTTTTTTTAATTTGCAGTAAATTAATAAACTCACTTTCACATTTAAGGCTATACAAAGTTATTTTTTACATGGAATCAAAAAATTGGGCTGATAGTCAAAATTTTTTTTATTAGTTTTATCAGGTAATTCTGAAAATAAGGTTGCTATTAGATGATGCCAGATTAATTTATGAAAAAAATTAAATAGCAACCCTATAAGAAAGTAGTCTAAATTGTGGTATGGAATGCACAAACAGCACAAATTATATAACTTATACAGATGCATTTTATAGAATAATATGGTAAAAAATAGCAGATATTACGATGGCAAATTATATTATATCATATGAAACAGCATATTAAGATGACATGCAGAGTAAAATAATTGGCACAATTGAAACTTAAAAAAAAAATTATTTTGAAAAATTGAAAAAATAGGTGAACAGATAATGCAAAACAAAAAATCAACTTTGCATAGCCTAATATTTTGTAAAAAAGTAGGCACTAATTGGTCAAATACTAAAACTAACTAAACTTCAAGACTAATCAACTAAACTCCAATCCAAAGACCTTTAGAATTTTGAATTGATAGGTGAAAAATTGTGTAGAGAGATTTGGTTTGATTTTTAAGGTTTTTTAAGATATATTACAGTGATACTGGAGGTTAAGCTAAGTATAGCTTTGAATTATCATTTAATCAGTTGTTTAATAAACAGTAATTTAACTAATATTATAAATTAACTCTCTAGACTACAACGCACGAATGAGATCATACTGGTTCTGCATTGTGTCATGTGCTGCGCAGCTATCCTTATTATAAAATAAGCTTTGATAAAATAAACTATTAGTGAAATAAACTTGTTAGTAAAATAATTGTTGGTAAAATAAACAAATTATTGAATTTTTATCAATAAAATATTATATCTATAAAATAAAAATAAGTAAAGTAATATATATTTATCAAGTTTTTATTTTATTAATAAAAATTCTAAGTTTTATTACTCTATTATATTGTTTTATTATTCTATTTATTTATTGATAATCTTGTTAGCAATTTTTATTCTAATAACAAAATTTTATTCTATTCTAAATTCTATTACTCTATTCTATTGCTTTATTATTTTAATAATCTATTACTACTAGCATTAATACTATTATATAAATTATATACAAATGGACGCAAATCACTAACTCTTCCCGACGATCACTTGTACCAAGTTTTCTCTAAAAACAATTGCATTTTTCTCAATATT